AACTACCCGCGTACTCAGGGTAAATATTCGAATCAAAGTTTTGATGAAGTTATCAATTAACTTCATAATGGAGGAACATTAAAAGATAGCAGTATGCTGTCCAACTCGGCAACCATTCCAGTCGGTTAGGTTGTGACTTCCCACAGACCCCACTGACCCAGCGACCATCCGACATCCTGGCTTCCGGCCTCCATGTCCTGACTCCTGCCTCTGCCTACCACCGAAACCTCCCCTACACTGCAACCCACGACTACCATCATCAGCCGCTAGCCCATTAATCCTTGTTCTTCCTCCAAGTGTCCGAGCGCATCGCCCGTCACCCTCCATGATATCCTAATCACCTTTCAACCTCTTCACCCGATTTTGACTCTGCTATGGTTTCTTCAGCTAAAAGAAACGGAGGTAGCATACAAATCGCAGAAAAGGGAACTTATAGTCGAAAAGTTCAAAATTTGTATTATTGGCACACTGCGTGGAGGATAAGGAAATCTAGAAATTTTGGTACAGATTTGACTCTCACAGCTCAAAAGTTGAAGGAGATATGACGTCCTGGAAGTTTCAAGACAGAATTCGATTGTAAATAAACGTGGTTTCAGTTTTTACGTATGTTATGTCCTTGCACACGTTGGAAGTGGGGGTCATCAGTGCATCACTCATTGATAAGGGTTTTTACAACATATTTCACGATCATCGATGAGTGATGCACCGATGATCCCCACTTTCAGCAAAACACTTGCGAAGTGCGCAAAGGGCATTAAGGAAAGTTTCATCCCAGAAGATATAAGGTCCCTTTTCAACGCCAGGCATAAGTCCTAACAGATAACTATTTCTGCACGAAGGATAATTCTGGCCTACTTCGAAAACTGAAGGGGAAATAGTGCTGTGCATGACCTTTTGCTTTCGTTTCTATTTAGGTTCCTCTGAATTTTCCACCAAAAACGCTACCGAAAATTTTATGAGATGAGGGAAGTGTGCTTTGACTTGAATTCAAGGACCTGTGTTTTCCAGTAGCAAAACGAGGTGTCCCACTATGATGGGGCACAAGTGCGGGCGGCTACAGGGGGCCGCGGCAGAACCAATCAGAATGACTGTCGAGAATGCAAGAGTTTTTTACCGGACTGCACTGGGCGCAAGATTCCGCGTTCGGGTCACGATGACCATCCGATGGGAATTGGGCAGCGGACGGAGATGATCCGGCTCCGGCATGACTCAGGTGATCTCGCTTCACGACCACCGCCGCCAGATTATAATATGAGGATCATACTTGGACCACATTTTGCAATAAAGAACCACTATTTCTTGCTCATTTTAGAAACAGCATATATGCCATTGGTTTCCCTATGCAGAAAGGTGATTTTATAGAGGAGCTAGAGATAGTGGTTTCTCATTGCAAAATGCAATCCACTTACAAGTGTGTCGATTCGAAAATCCCAAGCCCGGGCAAAAAGAGTGTAAAAATCGGGGGAAAATTTACGAAAGTATGAAAGATATTTAAGACTCTTTTTAATATTTTAACAACCACCAATATAATTACGTTGATTGAGATCTTCACTTCGGAAAATCCGCAATTCTGAAGATAAGGGTTAGAAAATCGAAAGAAACTGATTAAAGTCAATGATTCGACCATTTTTCTTCACCGAAAGTTAATCGGTATCGGTAAGAATAAGTTAACATCAAAAAACGACAAAAAATCTTAGTTTTAGTGGATCATTGTACACGGCACACAAAGCCGAATTGTTTAGTATGTATTTCTGAAACTACTGTCTGCACCACGCGTACCCAGGGATGAAAGTGATTCTTACAGGTTAGTAAGGACTTTTAATTATATTTCGCTCGTGTGTCTCACACCCATAACCGATTTTTCCTTTGATTTTAAGGTGATTTCCCACAGACCATTAAAATGCAATACAATGATAGGAAATCAAAGGCTAAGAACAGTCAGCCATCCAAAAGACCACTAAAATTGTTCTTCACCTTTGCTTTCGACCCATCACGACTAAAGTATACCTTTACAGCAAAAACATGGACAATAGAGGATCTATTTTAAAGCTATCTTTAAAACTAGCTCAGCTATCTTTGGCTTCATGGAACCCCTTTGATGCAACAAATGAACGCAATTGCATCCAGACGATTTCTGATGATAGGAAATGAATATTTAATTGCTTGCATTGTATTTAACTTCACTCAAAGCACATATTTGGGCTTATTTTCTAAGTTTTGAAAGCAACTTTGTGCATGACATTCGATCAAATCGTTTCAACCAAGCCTCATGGAGACGCCGTCATTTTTCTTGTTTTTGTGGGTCTTCATGGGATCTGGAATCCATACTCTCTCTATGAAGTTACTTTGCCCAAAATTTGACTTTATTTTCTGTTAAATCTTGCATCTATGATTCTTGGTGATCGATGCCAGGCGGCAGCTCACCGACCATCGGTCAGCGCGCGCACCAAGCTCCAGCACCTACCGCTCCAGAGCGGCACCGCATCGAATCGCCCCCCAAAAGGGGGTGGGGGAGGGGGGCTGATGTACCTCCAATCAGTCCGCTACAAACGCGTGCACTATCGTACTGCAGGAGCAATATTGTGCTCGCATTTTCATGCCTCCCCTCCCCCCGCTCTCCTGTCGGGATTCTCAGTACTGATCATTGCCGCACACGAGAGCGGAATTGGTTGAAAGGGAAACATTAATATCTGTGAAAAAACTGATTTTCATCTTAGGTTACCGAAAGTTTCAATTTTCAATGTTTTACCTGCGTTAATATATCGACCGAATGATCAATTTCTTATTATTAACATAATTTCTAACCCTAGTCGAACGGTATCAGGTCTTACAAAAAATCGAGTATGTCAGACAAGGGCGCATTAGACATCAGAAGAACGACAAAGAGAAGAGAAAGAAGGAAATAAAGAAGATGAGTAAGAAGAAAATTAAAATGAAGAAGAGAAAGAAGAAAAATTAAAGGAAGAGGAAGAAAAGAAGGCAACAGAAAAAAGACAAGACAAGGAATAAAAGGATAACAGAAAAAGAAGAAGAGAAAAAAGGAGAGGAAAAAGGAGAGGAAAAAGGAGAGGAAAGGAGAAAAGAAGAAGAAAAGAAGGGAGAAAGAAGAAGAAAAGAAAAAAGAATATGGAGAGGAAGAAGAAGAGACGAGATTTTGAGTAAAAAAAGACCCGAATCATGAGACCAGGGTTAAAAATCAGCGGAGGTAGTTGAAGGTGGCCACTGGTCAGTTTCTTTTATCCATTTAATTAAGCGATGTAGAGTATCATAGGTCAAGGTTGACTTAAGTACATTGTGTTCTGCACTTCGAGTTATTTCGGAATAAGATAAATTCATTGACTGGTGTCACTCAGTGAATTGACTGGTCCATCGCATAAAATTGGTCGGTAAAATCGTCGAGGATAAGGAGATTTTGGTTCTGTCGAGTAAAAATAATCTCAAAGTAAAACATATGATCAGTGAACAGCGGAACAATGGATTCAACCACCATTCTAGTTACCACTCTCACAAAGCAAGATTCAACGGTCTATTCGATTTTTTAAAAATATCAAAAATGTATAATTTTGAACATCCGTCTTGAATAAAACTGTCGCTAAGATTTTAATATCTGATCCAGAGAACTTGACACTTGAGACCACTGAGTGTAACTTATTCCCTATTTACCACGGGCCCCCATACATCTGATTGTATTTAGGCAGTGGGCTCGACTCCTGTTGCTCAACGCATTCCATTACCATGGCGAATGTGTCTCCGTTGGTCACCGCGCAGCAATGATGACCGACGAAAACACTTACGCGAGGAGCAGCAATCGACCAACAGAAATCCAACTGTATTCGGAAAAACATCTTGGAAAGGAACACAAGTTTGCCTATTTATTAGCTGTTAGCAGGAATTTTCAGTAATTGTGATACACCATGGATACATATAGTTGGCCAAAATTCGAAAACACGTATCTCCATTACGGTGTTGCAAAATGTCCGCTCCGATTATATTTTCTCAAAGAGAAACACGTCGATTTTCAAGCTTGAATTTTTTACAGAATATTCTACTGATCCGAAGGAAAAGTCAATGAATCTTTTAAGAAATTACGATGAACAGTTTTTCAAAGTAAAAATAAAATATGACAGGAAGTCTACAACGTTGCAAACGGAGACACGTGTTTTCGCACTTAGGCCATAGATATATACTCATACATATTGACGGTAAAAGTAACAAACCACTTATATCGATTTGCGATTATTCAAATCTCCTGTTACGTTTCTTTTAATTAAAAAAGACCTGATCAGCGTTCTGATACAAAATTTGGTTCGATTTTTTCCCAGTTTTTCGGCAGTTTGCTCTACAAATTTCACGCAAAAGGGTTGAGCAGTATTCTTGTGTAAAAATAAGATCAAATAAAATGTTCAAACACCGCACAGTCAAAATCCCTGGATTTGGTAGAATCATGTCACCTCACAATGTTAAGTTCAAAGCTATGGCAGTGAATCTGTGACCGAAACCTAAAAGCACATACTAGATGTGACCTGACGCGCATGTTCGATTGAGTCGGTTTCTTGCATAAGTGCGTAAGTCCATTGGAACGTTTCAAAATTGATACGGATGACTCATTATACAAGTGCACCGAAAAAATATCCGAAAAAATATCGATCGTGAATAAAGAACACGCCGTTTTGCCCACAAATAGTTAGTTGTCTGTCTTCAAAATTGAGCAGTTTTTGGTAATTTGAGACGTTGCGAGGCTTACTCTCACTACCCATCTCACCTTTTCCAACTCATGATGATAATTTTCCCTCGGTGGACTTTAACACAAGGATAAACGTTCTCAAGTTCTATTTAATTTTGCATATCTTGAAACCCCCTAAGAAGAGAGACGCAGAGAGAAATCCTTATAGGAACAATTTACAGTCATCAACAATTCTGTTTTGTGCGTTGAGCCGGCAGAATGAATACTCCAAACTTCACCTAAAATTAGGATGATGAATCATAGAGGGAGTTCTCACCTTTAGCATGGATCATTTTCAAATGGTCGACTGTCATTTGAAGTATTTCAGCTTTCTCCAGCTTGGCTGAACCTTGTTTTTCATAGGCTGAAGGCACCAGTCTCCTGAGTTCTGTGAGGCTTGAATTAATCCTATCTCGCCGTCTTTTTTCGATGATTCCTCTTCTTTTTTTCCTACTCAACATTTGACAACTATCGGCATCTCCGGGTGAGGAACAACTGTAAAAACAAGACAAAAGTTTTGTTAAACATAGTAAAATAAAAACTTAGCAAGATTTATCCCAACATACTAAAGTGAAGCCTTTAAAGCGTTTTAATGACTTAATTTCCTTGAAAAGCGGGGCATATGTTTGAGCAAAAGTAAGAGAAAAGCTCAAATATATTAGGATGTAGAAATGCGAAAATACATTGACACAGTTTTCACTTGTATTTTACAGTGTTCAACTTATTAACCGATTATCATACATGTGAGTGTAACAATGAGAGGTACTCAAATAAAAACTCAGAGGAAGTCGAAGGGAGGGGAGTGCGGGTTGTTGCTCAGAGGACCAGGTGCGGTTTGACTTCGTTCCCACGTTCGGTATTTTAGGCGGGAAAGCTCAACTTTTAAACGTTTCACGTGTTTCCAGATCGGACCAGACCATTAAGGACTACCTCCTACCGTCTCGGTTATTGATGATGTTCAATTTACGTTTTTTGATTGTAAAAATAGCAACGCGTATCCAATTGAGTTGTTTCGATTTAGTTGCAATTTGAGAACATAGCGTATACTATGAGGAAATAGAAATGTAAACAAAAATTTCAGACATTCTCAACAGCCTGTACTTTCTGACTGAATTTTACAACTTGTTTTTGTTTTCTTTATCAATTCACTGATATCAAAAATGATTTTGATGATTAACTATATCGTTTAATTAACAATATAAGCTACCTATCTCTTATTGCTCGTGTTGACATGAGATTGATTCTTTGAATAAGAACACTTTTGTCACTCGTTTCTGATTATTTACTTTCTCTAAGATGTTCACAGCACAAACTGAAATAATGAACGGAAAAATGAGATTTAAATTCGTTTAAAGAAGATGTTTTTAAAGTAAATATTACTAGCGTAAACAATTTCAAATAGTAAAATAAATTCACCGACTAGAATAGGTACACGTTTGTGTACGGAAAACGGAGCTGGAAATAGTAGTTCATACTTTCAAAATGTGGTTCCTATGCGATGAAGTCAGACATAAGGATCCTAAAGGTGAAAACATACATTTTTCAGAGCGGCAGAATACTGATTGCAAGTAAAATGTATCCAACTTCATTCAGTGGTTTTCAATGTTATCAATAATTTGAGGAACATGGGCTCAAACACATAAAAATGTGTAATGTTTTAGGGGTTTATGATGAATTTAGTCAGAAGCTTGCCACGGTGTTGACAAACATTAATCATGTTTTTTCAATATTCACTATCCCCTAAATTTGATGTGCTCTCACAGGGTATGTCTTTCAAATTTTCGGGTGTTTTTGCACCAATATTATGAGAAATCAACCCCTCTGAGCTGTTCAAAAGTTATCACATGATGTTTTTCTTCCACCTTCAGGGCTCTCTCATCTGACTTTATCACACACACTGCCAACACTATCACAGCTTAAACTCAGGAAAAATTCGACTTACTGGTCTTTGGAATCTTCAGAAAAAGCATCATCACAGTCGTCGCTCTCAGAAATTGACCTCTTCATCGAGTGTGTACTCCTGGGTTGCGGGATGTTGGAGGCAGGGCCCCAGTGAGGGTAACTCCAATGAAAAGCGTTTTGTTCGGGATTCATGATTAAATCTGGGAACTCTGGTTCCCTCCTTGGAACTACTTTCCACAAAGCCACGATTCTTTTACACTAGACGCACAATTATTCACTTAAAACATCCATTTAGAACACACGTTAATTCAAAAGTTCGATCAGAAATGTTATCATGGATCACTTCATTCGCAGAGCAAAATCACTGGACGAAACTTACACCATCAATACTTCAGTTTATTAGTTATTCGTGAGCACTATTTATCGCAACTCGTAGGTATTGATAAGAATTTCACTTGCACTAATTGGAGCCAATGGGTTTGGTCACTCTTCTCAGGGAGACTTAAGGGTTGTCAACCGACTTATCAAAATTTCCACCACTTGTTAAGGAAATTAACACTATGTGGGAAATCGACGAAAATAAACAGAGTGATGTAAAATTGGTAAAAATTCAAGTCGCACAGATAAGGTCCAATGGTTGTAAACACCAACGGTCAAATATTAAGGGTTATTATCAACTTAGAGAATGTTCACCACCGCGAGGGTTGAAAAATAGCACTAAGTGTAGAATCTAAAAATCGACAAAATGCGATTTTATCGCGGTTAAAGCGTCGGTGATCCAATTAGAGGCGAAGACGCGTGGACGGGCGCGGGGGTGTGAAGATATTCGCGCGGACACTTGTTTGATAAGAGACGTCGGTGGCGTCGGCGTAGGCGGAAGACGTCGGTGCTGCGGACGGCGCGTCGGATCGTGCGGGCCGCGTGGACGAGCGAAGGAAAATGAAGAGAAACGTGTCGGTCGCGTTTCGGTGCGTGCCGCTCTGCCCGGCGCGGGGAGGGCGCGGGGTCGATGGGAGGAGCCAGCCACGCTCCCAACGTGGGAAAGTCTCCCGGTTCCGAGAGGGTGCCTCTGTGAGAAACTTTAACTGCTCGGTCCGAGGGGTAAACATGAATGAAAACCAATTCGCCAGCCCCTGCCCCGCGCATCGAATGTCTCGATGAACTTCATCGATTCGCCCTATCTTGGCAATGATATCTATCGATCGAGTTCGATTCGACAATCGATATACGCTCACCTCTTGAGCTACGCCGCTCGGGGACGGCAACCCCCTTGGCTCCGGCTCTTGGCTACGGCTCTTGACTTGTCTTCGCTCTTGCTCTTTAGCCCTGCCGTCGCCGTCACCGATCTGCGCCTTTGGCCCTTTGAGTAATTATCTCGATACTCGCGGCTCCGGGCTCGTCTTATCTTTGATCGGACCGCAAAAAAATCGCTCACTCCTCTCGCATGCAATCGGTGCAATGCCAGTTTCGATACGGATGCAGCATCGCGAAATGGAAAAAAAAGTCGCTTTGTTGATGTCGGTCATGAGTTAAGGGTTGTCATTGCGCACTGTTAAAAATTTTGGGGTGGAATCCAGGGTGCATCTCACGCTAAAACCAGGATTGCACGAGGAAAATGAAAAATATAAAAGAAATTTCACAAAATGGTTAAAAATGTGAAATATGTTTTCAGGGGCTGGATAGTGGATATGCGACACGCGATAAAAATCAGAAAAAAGCACAAATCATTTATCTTTCATAAAATTTTGCATTTAGTTTCAAAAAATTTGTTTGTTGTTCAAAAATCAAAGTATGGGGGCGAAGGCCCAGTCGAGGCATCTTTATTCAAATTTCCCTTAGAGTAACTGCGGTCATAATAAAAAAAAATCACAAGGGGTAAAAAGTACTGATAGAAGTGTAAACTGCAGAATGCAGTGATGGAGAAATTGCATGACCAAACTGTATTGCTTCATCTGAGAGTGCTTACTGAGCTGGTTCCACAGTATTTTTCCAAAAATAAAAAACTTCTGATAAGGGAAATTGTAGAAAGACAGATTTAAAAGTGAGAAAATCATCGACTTGGGACGTCATCAGGCGGAAATTCTCATTTTAACACACGTATTTAAGCAGATTCGGTTCATTTCTCATTTTACCTCCTGTAATAATGGACCACTAGACAAGGTACGAATTTAAGCAATCTGATACATGTTTCTTAACCAGAATTTTACGTAGAACACGATTCACACTACGAAAATTACCGAAATCAACTTCTAACGAAGATATTAACGTTTTTATTTCGCACTGATTACGAGGAATTTGAACTGCCCGCTCACAAGAAACTCAAAGCTCTACGTGAGTCAAATCGCGCACTACAACGGTTTCAGCAAGCTTCTCAATCGAGCAATGCTCATTTTTCACCATGTGTTGTTCAAACTATTGGTAATTTGCTATAGCTGAGCCAAAGTGTCAAGATTGAAGTTGAAAATTTTTACATCGCAGAGACTGTCATGATAAACATTTAGCGCGCGATGTGAATCACGTAGAGCATTGAGTTTTCATGAGCGGGTGGTTTGAATTCACGCATCAAGAATCATTAAATATCTTCATCAGGAGTTAATTTTGGTAATTTTCGTTGTGCGTATCGTGTTCTACGTGAAATTTTGATTGAGAAACATGTATCAGAATGCTGAAATTCGTACCTTGTCTAGTGGTCCATTGTTCAATTGAGAAACCAAGGATATTCTCGTGCTCAGCTCTCCTCGTAATTTCATCTTACACATGAGATTCACCAAATCTCAGACACCTGCCGTTTCTCCATTGAGTAGATACACACTGGAAAAAAAACACATTGGATCTAGAGTCCAGACTCTTGAAAACATTGACAAGAAAAAATACTCTTGATTCAATCAGACTTTTGCTTAAATCAAAAGGAAATCCGCTCAAATTAAGAGGCTTGGTTCTCGATTTAAGCAAAAATCCGATTGAATCAAGAGTATTTTTTCTTGTCAATGTTTTCAAGGGTCTGGACTCTAGATCCAATGTGTTTTTTTTCCAGTGCACCCTTACGTGAAGGAGCGACAATTTAACCCAACTTTCTCTCTTGATGCACGATTAAGTTGTTTATTATTTCCACCCCACATTTTTTCCCGGAACAAATAACGGAACGAAAAGCCTCCATCGGACTTCCGCATCCCCGGAACTATGATGTGCGTGGAGCGGATGACCCAGTGGGAAGCTGCGCGGCGCACTTGTTGCGGTCGGACGTCGGCCACACGAGGCGGCCGCCCGGGCGGCGCTCGCCGCGCGAGGCGACACACGCCGCCAGCACGACACCACTCATCAGGTTGTTGCCCGATGGAGATCGGCCGTCGCGCCGTCCCACCCGTTTTCCGGTGCGGGCCTCCTCGATTTTTCGGCTCCATCTGGAAACCCGGGCCGTGGGCGCACGTCCGGCTGTAATTCAGCGTCGACCGCGTTTTCATTTAGCCAATCGGCCGGCGTCGCGACGGCGACGCTGCGTACGCTCGGAATTCCGATGTCGATCGGCCTTGAACGACCTTGAACCGCGGGGTTGGACTCGCAGTCCGCGGTCATTGGCCCCTGTTACCCTGACCTAATCGCTGAGATTGGGCCAGCTTTTCTTTTTGTGACCGTCAAAGATAATATAAACACTGGGGAAAAAAACACATTGGATCTAGAGTCCAGACTCTTAAAAACATCGACAAGAAAAAATACTCTTGATTCAATCAGATTTAAGCTTATATCAAGAACCCAGCCTCTTAATTTGAGCGGATTTCCTTTTGATTTAAGCTTAAATCTGATTGAATCAAGAGTATTTTTTCTTGTCAATGTTTTCAAGAGTCTGGACTCTAGATCCAATGTGNTTTTTTTTTTTTTCCGGTGAATCTCGGAGACCCTACACTGCTTTCTTGTCTATGGTGTTCAAGTAATGTTCGGAAGGCAGCGGAAAGATTCCTCCAAAGATGACTTACTGAGCAATAAAGTAGCTTAGTGGCTACTTCATTCTGGGGATATTTATAGTATCAATTTTCGATGAGTCCAGCCAAAAAAAAAAAAAAAACAGAACATAAACTTATATCAATCGATACATAATGACGCATGAAACACGAGAAATTACGACTGAAAAAAAAATTACATGATTTCATGGTCAAAGAGCCAGACCATATTTAGTAACAAACTCGTGACACGATGGACAAGGAAGCAATGTAGGGTCTCAAATTTTGACAACTTAAATTGGACTACATTTTGCAATTTGGAACTATAAATTCTAGCCCGGTTTAAAAACAACGTATGTGCCAATAGTTTCCCTATGCACATAAGTGTTTTTCCACAAGAGCCAGAATTTATAGTTCCAAATTGCAAAATGCAGTCCAATTGACGGCCTTACACGCACTGATAATACGTTTGCCAAACCGTACGTTGACCAAACCGTTCAAAGCTCAATTTAAAGAATATACGAGAGAATATCCTCTGATGACAGCTGTTTTTCAATTTAAGTTGAGAGAAATTAGTCTCCTGAACTTTTTCTTCCAAAAACTAAAAGTTCGGTCTCCATTAACAGTCGCAAACATTAAAATTGAGGAAGGCACTCTTATTTAATATGAGAAAACAAATTGACTTTTAAGAGGATAATTCTCGAAAAACTCCAGTTTACACACTATATGCTTACACGCAAATAAAGATTTGATGAAATAATGATATTTATATCACAAGTTTTTGTCGGGCAAATCAGACTGATTGGTGCAGTAATTGGAACAAATGTCAGTCAGACTAATTTAATTAGTTCCCTTTGTTCTGAAGCAAGGGGGAGAACATTCGATCGCAAACTGGACACGGGTCTTTTAATGCAAATTGAGTTTTTTCTTGGAGACTTGAACGCTGAGATAGAAAAGAAGGCCTCATTGAAAGGCGCACTGGAGTGATCTTTGTTTTGTACTTTTTAGGATTCCTGAGGTCTGAACCCTGCAATCTGTTCCTTTTTATTTAAAAAAATAGGGGGAGGGGGGTATAGCAATTCTTACCCATATCGCAATGGCACCGAAGTTCCGGCCCTTATAAATACAATCTTTAGCAAAGCTCATTTTCACAGTAGTTAGCCCCAAACCTTAGATATGATGTATTGCATGCAGACGGATGAAAATTTGCGCTAATTCTCATGTTTTAAGGTACTTTTATGAAATTATCAGATTTTGGCTAAAATTTGTACAAATGCATGCTTTACACCCTTAAAATCACATTTTCCAGGTAGTCCAGGCACCCTGGGTCAGGCTAGTGCATAGCAAAGAAAA